CACAAACAGTGCTCAATACCATATAGATAGAGCGTAATATAGTTTTTCGTTTTACCTTAAAAAAACACAACAGTCTGTTTCATCCGTATAGGAATCATCAGGTGGTATAGGAATCATCAGGGGATATATATATATATATATATATATATATAAATATCTATCTATATCTATCTGTGTGTGTGTGTGTGTGCAAATAGTCTGCCTACTATTTTAAAGTTTTATAGTTTGGTCGCTTTCAGTAATTTTAAGTTGGTTTAAGTTGTTGTTAGCATATATTCACAGGTCCAACCAGTCACAACTTGGACTTTTACGCAAATGCATCTGCATAACAAAACGAACTTTTTTAAGACTTTTATTCTTATCCTACGTTTCGGGGCATGCCCCTTTATCAAGGATAAATAACAGAGTTATAGATGTACATGCTTTTATATCCTATTCAATTCATTAACATAAATTACCCCAAATCCCTTACATTTAATCCCTGAGGTGAAAACGTGTCCAAATTATATGCCCAAAATGCCTCTCTTTGCGTAGGATCATTCATATTTGTTTTGTCAATAATAATAACTCTAAGATCGGCCAAGCCCTCGTGTTCCTCGCCAAAAAAATGCGCATATGCCTGATCCCTTGCCCATATTTCCTAAGAGAACTCTTATGGTTGTTAAACCCCTTCCTAAAAGTTGTTATGGGCAAGGCATCAGTCGTTACACGAGTGAAATCGTAAACGTTGGAAACCACAACATTTACATACAACATTGCCAGACTAATAGCTGGCTTTACGCATTGAAGGACTAACCTCCGAAATGCAACTAACATCATAACTTAACAAGTCGTTCTCAGCTTGACCTTGTAGCTCAGACGGTAGAGCATCGTTCTAGAAATGCAAAGGTCGCGGGTTCGAATCCCAGCCGCGGTCAAGTAGAATTTTCTGCTTGCCCGGCTTGGTATACACTCGTCTGAAAAGAACTCAACAACCGCTATATAACGTTACACGAGTGAGTGGAATCGTAAACGTGGGAAACCACAACATTCATATATATATATATATATATATATATATATATATATATATATATATATATATATATATATATATATATATATATATATATATATATATATATATATATATATATATATATATATATACAGCTAAATCAATTAAGGTTGTCTTCTCGAAATTGTAAAATCTAAAATATATGACCCAAGTGCGTCATGGGCGTACGGGGGATTGCATGGGATTTGATAGGATTATCGACTTCGGGATATAGGCTAATCGCTCGTGGATGGTAAATACTACGCCAATACTTTTCTTAGCTTTATTAATTTCAAGGCAGTTTTGAACCTACAGTATACAAAGACGAAATGTGTAGCACACTGTGCTGGACCGAAATAGCAGATTCTTTAATTCAAGCCATAAATACTTTAAAACCTTTCTGTCAATTATATTGTAGTTCGGTATATACATTTTGCGGTTTTAAACTGAAATTCCTTGAAGATTAATTGTTTTGTTTACAACCGGTATACAACTTGACCGTCGCCGTTTGTTTGGTGCGTATATATATGCATGTATAAGGTGCACCATAGCTCAAATACAATTAAATGTATGCAAATTCTGTGGTAGATTTTTAACTACAATAATGATTTTTCGCATGCTTCTCCCCATATCATGCAAGTATATTTTCGCTGCAAATTATTTCCTCTGAATGCATTCACGAGAGTAAATCCCGCTAAAGCGAAGATTTCAAGTGCTTCTACTAAAGGTATAAACTATTTATTTATGTTGATGCATGCTATGTACCTAAGTATATTTCCTTCAACGATAAGCATTGATTAGTGATACATTTTAGTGTAAAAATTCGGAATATTTTTGAGCTGATCGTTAACATTATTATTTTGAAATCGATACCGCAGGGGGTAATTAAGTATGCCAAGCATTTAAATTTAAATCGCACAGTGTGTCTGGGCTACCTATGCATTTACACCAATAATTAAAATAAACTAGTAACTCAATTTTGTTGCTGGTAGTGCATGGGATCTATGGGTCTAGCTTTTAGATCCCAGAATTGCCTAATTATTGTAAAGTCTGCATAAAGCAGAAAAAGGCTCTGTTTTTATCAATGACCGGTGCCTATTGAGTGACCAAATATTGTCAGCCTAATCCACTTATTTGATTTATCCATGTTAATGTATTACTGTTGATTGCAAATCACCTGGATTACATGATTTGCCAGCAAAATACAGGCAATTGATAAACTTGAGTACATAAACTGAATGTATCAAACAGAATGCATGTTGGCGAGTTAATGCAATTTTAAGCGATTTTAGGCGATTTAAGAGAAATTTGACAATTTTAACCCGTGATTTAATTAATGCGATTTTAGGCGATTTACCGCCCCAGAGTAGGCCTGCTATTATCAGTGGTGGCGCCAAGGGGGGGGGGGGGGAACAAATGCCCCCCCCAATTATTTTTTGCTCCCCCCCCCCATTTTGCTCCCCCCCTCCAAAAGATTTGTTAGAGCGACTAAAGGCTACACAAGCGTTTTGTCGTTATCGGAAAACGGTATGGCTTATAAGTTGTCATTACTCATTAGTGAATGCACGTATACATGAAACTGTCTTTTACAGTTTCAATATTAGTTTGTAAATCTCTGAATGGTAAAACTTGCCAATACTCCAATAATGCGTTTCAAATAAGACAAAAAAGCTTTAGTTTTGCAAAGTTAAATTCTCAAACCTGTAAAGGCCCACACAGACCGGACGCGATTCGGCAACGCGACGCGAATTTTCAGTTTTCAAAAACAAATAAAACCGTCAACGGATAAAATTTTACAAGGTATGCAGACCAAATAGCTAAAATTGCTAAGTGATCCCGAATATTTGAAAAACAATGAATGAGTGAAAACTGAAAATTCGCGTCGCGTTGCCAAATAGCGTCCGGTCTGTATGGGCCTTAAGGCACCAATAAGATGAAAGTATCACGAAATTATTTGAATAAACCACATCGCATATATGAGGGGCGAATATCCTAAAGGGGGGGGGCGATATTCCTGGGGCATTCGCCCCTCTGGGGGGGGCGATATTCCTAGGATATTCGTCCCCCGGGGGCGGTATTCCTAGGAATATCGCCCCCTTTTGAGAGGGGGCGAATCTCCTGGGGGGGGGGCAAAAGTCCTGTGACAACGGCATGGGCAAATAGCAGTACCTTTTTAAAAATTCTATCTTGCCCCCCCCGAAATATGAGTTTACCCCTCAAATGCCCCCCCCAAATTCTGAGGCTTGGCGCCGCCACTGGCTATTATATCCAGACTATACGACATTTTACAAACCTAAATTCCTTAAAACTGATCTATTACGCATTGGTCTATCCATATCTTATATACTGTAATTTAGTTTGGGGTAACGCTTACAAATCCCACATTCAAAAATTAGTTAGTATCCAGAAAAAGATAGTAAGATTAATGACCTTCAAATCTATTTTGACCATACTGAACCAATTTTTAATGACCTTAAAATACTAAACTTGTATAAATTGAATGATTTTTTAACAAGTCTATTTATGTTCCAATATTTTCATCAACAAAATCTTCCAGAAATTTTTAATAAATATTTTTTAACTAACAAAGAAATCCATAATTATAACACAAGAAACGCATCATTGCTCCACAAAAGTTGTACTAGAACAAATTATAAAAATCACACGCTCGGTAATAACGGCATCGATGTGTGGAATAATCTTCCGACGCAATATAAGCAAATTAGATCTCTTCCAATATTTAAATCTACAATGAAAATATATTTTCTTCTGTCAAATTTAAATAAGTAGAATTTTTGGCACAAAGTGAAAAGCCAAATAGTTGTTATAGTCTGATATATCTTTTACGCACTTCCCTTACTGTAAATATATCACCGTAAAACAATTGGACTGGTATTAACTTTTAATATTATATTATTTGAATTGTAACTAGGGACCTTAAACAAAAGCCTTATGGTTTCTAGAAGGTTCCTAGCCCTACTATTGTAAATATTTTCTATTTAAATTGTTAATTTTGTAAACTGATTTGGGCGAATATATTAAATAAATAAATAAATGTATATATTCTCACTTGGATTACAAACCCTAACATCCTAATATTAATTCCACCAAGTGAAGTGCAAGAATCTGAGTCATTCAAGTCCACCTTATCACAACCCGCACACCCGATTACCTATATATACATGAACTTACGGTTACAGCTCAACAGCTGCATGGCCTCTGTAGCTCAGTTGGTTATGTGCGCTGCATCGGAATTGCAGGGCCGTAGTTTCAATTCCTACCAGAGGACCTTGTGCTGCATTTTTCACAGTCGTTCCTGGTTAGGTCTTAAAATGTATATATTCTCACTTGGATTACAAACCCTAACATCCTAATATTAATTCCACCAAGTGAAGTGCAAGAATCTAAGTTATAATTTTAACACAAACGATACACTATACTGTATGCAGTACATTTTTGTACTTTAACTATTAGCGCTAACTAACTGCCAGGCAAACTGCAAACTTCAACAGTCAATATTTTTGAAAAAAACAAACACGCTCTTCTTTAATCCCCGAGCCGACGGCGCGAAGCGCCGTGCGAGGGTACTAATTCCCCCCGGCTATTTACACCCGGGGAGACGAAAGCATTAGCGAAGTCTAAAGTTCATCAATTATCGCGGGCGTGGGTCACCAACGATGTTGGGGTGTTGGGTGGGTGGTCATCCTCACTGATCTCAATAATATGGCGGACTGTCATGAATAGCGGACACTGATTGGTCCAATTTAAAGTTTGCATTATAACGACTGCGTGACGACAGCAAAATACCAAACATTTCTTGATTTGATGATTGATAAATTTCTTGCAAATATATTTCATTTTTGCTCGCATTTTTGCAAGATTTTGTAAACTTCAAAAGCTCTCTCAGAAAGAAACTGCGAAAGAATCAGCTAAAAGAAGGAAGCCGACGTTTACGAAGGTAAGTTTGTTTTAAATATTTATTTTATAATGGCTTTAAAACCCGACGGCCTTTGCGTATATGAAACAACTAAACAAGACAGCATATAATTTCAGTGATATGTTATTGAATTTTTTAATTTAAATAACAAGTGCAAAGTTATTTGCAAGCGAGAATATGAAATCATTTTATTGCAAACTCAAAGTTTATCGATAAAACCATTTTAAAAGGCAGTTTAGTTTTATAAAGAACACTAGTGACTTTTAATAAAACGTTTTGCGAAGCGTTTGTGGGTGAATTTTACCTTAAATTGAGGCTTAATTACGTATGATGATGATGATGATGATGATGATTTTATTGATCCATCTCTTGTTTAAAAATACAATGGATTTACAATAATGTCTACTAAAAGAGAAGAGCATAACTAGGCATGCAATAATATTTACAAACTGTTGGAAATTTATATACAATTAGGAGTAAAATTTAAAAATCTAGGAAATTAATAAAAAGTTAATAAAAACCAAGTTAAATTTTAATGCAACTCCTGTCTGATTGCTCGTGGGATAAAGCTATTTATGTGTCTTTCAGTGCCTGAAAAAGGTGCGTATTTAAATATGCCGTCTCTACCCCTACGGTTATAGTTATGTTTATTATGTTCCATAGTTCGTTGATAAAAGATATGACTTGGATCACGTAAGATAGTATCGAGTTCTCTCGATGTGGCTTCAATTCTTCTCTCTTCGAGAGTTGGCAGGTAACCATGCGGGAGGCCAATAATTCGTAGACTCCTCCTTTGTACACGTTCCAATTCGTCCTTTAGATATCGTGGCAGACCACCCCACACTGGAGAACAATATTCAAGGATAGGCCTGATTTTAGTTAGATAAGTGGTGAGACCCACTTCGACTGGTAGATTCGCTCTTCTACATTCTTTTAGGCAGTACAGGTTTTTAGCTGCTTTGCGAGTTATCTCCTCGACATGTTTATTCCATTTCAGATCCTTTTGAAACCAGGTTTCCAAGAGTTTGAAATTATCGACTTTTTCTATGATAGCGTCTCCTATATGCAGTGGTGGAGGGGACGGTGCTTCGGTAAAGTTAATCCACATATCTTTTGTCTTTTTGGCATTCAGTTCCATCTTATTTTCCACAGCCCAACTTTGCACTGAGTCCAGAGCGCTTTGCAAATCGCTAGATTCTCCTATTCTTATCGACGTATCCATGGTACAATCGTCCGCATATTTGGTTGTGTTGACACATGCCTGTTCAGAAACATTTTCCTCCATATCGTTAATATGAATGTTGAATAAGGTCGGCGAGATAGCAGATCCCTGAGGGACGCCGGCTGGGCATGATGCAGTAAAGGATAGTACACCTTGGAGATTTACCTGTTGTGTTCTTCCCTCCAGAAAACTCATTATCCATAGCCAGAAACTCCTTGTGACATTCATATCAGCAAGCTTGTCCAGAAGGATTTTATGGTCGACCAAATTAAACGCCTTCCGGAAATCAACAAATAGGGCGTGGACACCTTGTCTACCGGTTGAGGAGTTGTCCGTTGAGTCAAACCAGTTCTGAGATATTGAAGTAAGGGAGGACACGGTGGAGTAACCGCTCATAGTAGCGTGCTGGTTTGTTTTGATCTTGAAACTGGGTTAATTGAGTTGGAGCTGTAGCTTCTCGATAACATTTGCCAGTTGTGGTAGCACGGAAACTTGGCGAAAGTCACTATCTAGGTCTGTGGGTGGACGGATCTTTGGTATCGGACTGATGATTGCATGCTTGTACGAGGTGGGGTATTTGCATTGAACTATGCTTGCAACCACAATATCGTGGACTACTGGTGCTAGTTCTTCTGCGTACCGTTTAAGACACCATGCAGGGATATTATCCGACCCGGTGGCTTTCCTAGGATTTAGGTGTTTTAGGACGGTTTTGAGTTGGCCAATGGATGGTCGGAGTGGGTGGTTGTCCTTGAGCAAATGCTCTACCGCTTGAAGTCTGGGAGGATTTGGTTGAATTTCTAGCCAAGGCTTAATAAAACTTCTTTGCAGCCTGTCAGCGATTTCCACTAAGTTAGCGTGGTCAGGCGAGGATAGAGATTGTTGATCATCAGTTGCTGCCGCTAGCTTGAAAATCGTTTTATACCATTTGCCGGGATTGGATTGATGGCTGCCTTCAGCCTTGGATTTGTAGTACATAGCTTTAGCGTTGGATATCAGCTTGGTGACTTTTGCGTGTAAACTTTCATACTTCTATGTCTCCCCTTTCGTAAATGCTCTCTGTCTTGCTTTTATTAAGGTTACAGGACACCAGGCGTTTTGCGGAAAATCGCTACTGCGCGCTCAAAATCAGTCTGATTTTCATAAAATTTTCACCAAATGATCGCCAGTGAATGCAAAATATGGTAAAGTTATAAAATTAACAAACAATAAAATAATGTAAGAATTATTCAGGAAAATCTTAAATCGCAGTACCGTTACGCTTTTGAGTTGTGCTCCTGCTGGTTTTAAGTTATATTTATGAAAATATCATTTTTAAACAGTAAAATAGTTGTTCTAAAAAATCGTGTTCGGAATTTTTTGTTTATTTCGTCATTCCGCTGATATGGCGATTTCTTTGACGACTGCAATATATTTCTGAATTGTTTAATTGAGTGAATTGCTCTTTATTATTAAAATATCTAAAATTAGAACAAAGCCGAACACAATTTTGAAACTGACGTCTTTAGCTATGTCCTGTGAAAATTTGAGAAAAATTGGCTGAAACCCGCAGGAGAACAACTCGTTTGAAAATCAGTAATTACCGTAAAATTCTTCGAGAGAAAATTGAATTTGAATATTACATTTTCAATGTTTTTCTTATTGCAGCGAAATGTATTTTATTAAATAACTCTGCAAGTTTTCAACATTTTTCATCCAAACTTGGTCAGATAGTAGAACTAGTCTAATGCTTTCATGGAAACCAATAAAAAAATTTTAGGCAAAATTAACACACAAAGGTGTTCTGTAACCTTAACGCTTTAATATTGGGGGTCATCCACAGTTTGTCCGTACAGTGTGCGCGAACTGTTCTGACGGGTATGGCTTCATCAAGCATACAGATGACGATAGAGTTAAAGACTGAGACCTTGTCATCCACATCCCACTCGGAATATACTTTCTTCCAGTCTTCAAGTTCATTTTCAGTCCCAGAACTTTTAAGTTCTCTGGTTTCATTTGTCGATATTTCTTTGAAACGGGGGGCATCTTCTGCCTTGTTTTGGGTGGTAAGATCAAACATTGGTGATCGGAACGTCCGATAGGTGGAATGTGAAGAACTTTGTCATACAGATCCGACATATTGGTAAGTATCTGGTCCAAAATGTTATTTCCTCTCGTGGGCGACTTGACCTGCTTCCGTAAATTAAAACGGCGACACAAAGGATTCAAATCCAACTTGTTGAAGTCCCCAGTTACAAATATACCGGCAGAAGGGCGCTCAGCTAAAGTAATGTCCATCTTTTGAGTCAGGTAGTCCAGCATCTCATGTTTATTCTCTTTGCTTTGGCCTGGAGGATAGTATACGCCTACTACGATGACGGAACTGTAGGGTCTCGGTGTTCGGGGTGGTTTTAATAATAGCCAGAGCGCTTCTTTTCCTTCCTCTTCTAGTTCAGGAAGGCGTTTAGCAGGTAGGTCAGATTTAATGTATGCCAAAATACCACCACCTGGCGTTGGTCTGTCGAGTCGATATGAATTGTAAGTATTTCCTATGTTAATAATAGAATCCGGAATATCAGACGATAACCAGGATTCTGTAACCAACATTACAGAGGGATTGTTTATCGCAACCACTGCAGACAGTTCGTCCACCTTGTTTGCTATGTGGCAGGCATTGGTGACAAAGAGAGATGGAACAGTGCAGTTGTCTCGGTGACTTTCCAGGTTACTAGTAGTCACAGGGACATTTACCAGGTTGCATGGATTACTAGTTCGCTTACGTATAGTTAAAGAACGTGGGGAAGATAGACATTCAGATAAGCTGTGTCGTGACGTAATTCTACCTGGAATACTATTACGTTTACACAGCGAGCCATTAATTTTCGTGTAATAATTTTCCAATAAATTATTCAAGTATTCTTTGGTTTTATTAATTTCTATAAGCTCATGTTCGAAAGGTTCTATTGGGTAATTGGACTCGGTCAGTTCCGCTTTACATGATGTAAAACTCTTGGGTGGTTCTATACTAGTGTTGAATTGTGAGTCATTTGACTCACAAATTGTAGTATAATAACACACCTATAATATAATAATATAATAACGTATAATAACGTATATTAGTATAAATTTTGCATATCAAATGAGCTTTCGCGCGTTCTGATTGGCTAGATGACTAGTAAATCTGAGGCATTATTTACCACCTGGGTAGTAAATAATGCTTTTCAAAAAGAATGATTCGGCAAATTTGGTTTCAAAATCGACAAAATATTGAAAAAATCGTCCCAGAAAAAGAAAAAAAGCACAAAATGTTGTATTTAACTTGAAAGGTAGGATTTAGTATTATATTACTGTGTCAAACATATTCACGGACAATTTAAAACTTATTTAAAACTCCGAAACATTCGCTTCAAACGTAAATCTGAAATAGCAAAAAATATCCCGACTTTTGGGAAAAGCCGTGGTATTCTTTTTAAAACAATTTTGTTTTGTATCCTATAAATATCTCAATTTGTACGATACTATTTCTTTTGACTATGTCGTGTTTTCATTGTGCTGTATGGTGTCCTTTCGCTGTATTGTACTATTTGTGTTTTTAAAACTTGTAAAGTGAAAAGTGTATTAAAACTTTTATATTAATTCGAACGATATAGTTTTACATTTCATTTTACCAAATTTCTCAGCCATTTCCTGAACAAATTAATGCTAAACAGAAACTATTTTTTAATTCTAAGTCTGGTAAAAAAGTCATTCCATCATTGTGTTTATATTCTAAGCAGAAATCGAGAAAAATAACTTTGTAATAAATCAATAAAGTCGCACAGGAAGCCATTTTGAAAGCGTGCATGTACAAGAAACACTGCAACACTAAACCGTAAACCGGTCGAAAACAGTTTTATTTCTGAATTTTAATTAAACTTATAGTTGGATAACTTGGATATTTTGTTTTATTCATTAAAAATTTATACTAAAACAACTATTCGCCTCAGGCTCAGTGATTACGGTGAATATTCACCTCGACTTCGTCTCGATGAATATTCACCGGTAATCACTTCGAATAATTGTTAAATAACATACCTAACATATATATATATATATATATATATATATATATATATATATATATATATATGTTGGGAAATTAATAATTTTGTAATTAAAAGTGATATTTTTAGGCGATTTTTCATTTGTAAGAATATTCTTAAAAAATTATCGTGTTACCATGACAACTACTTTAGATACTTCATGTTCGGAAAATACAATGGTTTTGTCAGCAAGGCCAGGGTTTCTGCATGCATGTATTTTCAGGGTTTCTGCATGCATGTATTACTTGTACTTAAAGTTGCATATTTCTATGGTCCCAGCGACTTAATACTCCGTGGAGCGTCTTGTTATACATTAATTTGCAATTTTTCGACCAAACAATAAATAGTTTGACAGTTTGATTATTAATTTATTTAGTGTTTGCTGATTGGCTAATTGGACCCGGACAAAAAGTGGGAGGTTATCAAATTACACTGCCAAACCCAGCAGGCGGTATTTTAGACCGCCTGCCTTGCAGGCTACTATGTTTCCCGCAGAAATTTGTTTCTCGTTCATCATTTAAGCCCAATCCCAAACTTATTCTTAAATTGTGTGCACGGAATACGAGTAAATAACCAACACGAAAATGAGGCCATTGGGTCAAAAGTGGATATTAATGTCTATTAACTATTAGCTGGCAATGCACACTACTTCAGTAATAACTCTGACTAACGCCAGACAAATTTACACTGTGTAAAGCCTGGCGCACACGATGCGATTTTAGTCGGCCGATAAAAATCGTTTGACATACCAATATACATTGGTATACTCCGCACCCGATTGAACTGTAGCCGCCATGTCGCCAAATAAATACAAGCACGTGATCACAGCATGAAATCTGATTGGTTATACGTAAAATTCCACCGATAAAAATCGTATAATATCAAAACGTTTTGATGTTGTCCGATTAAAATCGAGCAACAAAAATCGGTTAAAAATGACACCGCACACACAACGATTTTGTCAGTTTCAGTCAGACGATTTTTATCGGCCGACTAAAATCGCATCGTGTGCGCCAAGCTTGGAAATAACACTATAAATAGTTCAAAATGTTTAGGAACGAACTTTCTCTAAGCCTCATGTTAATGGTATATTTTGTGTTCAATATATAGACCTCGGTAAGGCGTTTTTTAAATATGCTTATTACATTAACAAACGACGTTTCGGAGATTTACTCCATCTTCAGGTAGTTAAGATTACAATTTGAATTTAAACTAACGTGCGCATGCATAAACGTTAAAGCTTACGACCGTTATACGCGCGTGCGAAATTGGGTAAGCGTATAAATGACGTGTCCGATTAATTCTAATAAAATTAGGAATTGTTAATTTAAACTACGACATTAAACTGTCTTTAATGTTTAGACTACAAAATCTAAGACATTTAACTGTTCGTATTTTCTATTCAAGGCTGGATTGAGCTTTTGGATGAATAAGGCTTCGGTAAATTTCCATTCTACAGATCCTTTTGTTCTTTTTCAAATCTTAACAGACAGTTTCGGTTTTTGTCCGAAATGTTGGTCGAGATAGTGTTTCGAGAAAGCCACGTTTTTATAAGACTTTGCTTTCGGATTTGCTGCGGAACGAAAATGTTCTTGGTATCGAACCACCAATGGTCTGCCTGTCTCCCTTACGTACGTTGCCCCGCAAAGGTCACAGTTGATTTCATACACGACATCTTTCTGTGTGCACCAAACGGGAACATTTGAGTTGCTGCAGATTGGGCATTTAGACGTCTCTGTGCATACTTTATCGTAAGGTCGCGATTCTACGAGGAGTTGTTTAAGTGAGCATTGTACATGTGGTCTTTCAACTATTCTGACATTGAGGTTTGAACTCTGGACCGCTCTTCGGATGTCGGTGGTATAGCTTCTGGAAATGAATGGGATTGTGAATGTGGGAGGAGGTTCGACTTTCGAT